CAGGAATGAGGACAGGAGTGGAAATATGCATCCGTATTATTCCTGAATTTTCAAATGCCAGGAGAGAAGGCTCTTTGCAGACTTTGAGCAGAGTGGCCTCTCGGGGTGGCTATCCAGCACTATTCCCTTTGGCCAGAACTCGGGAGCTTGGGCAGAGCCCAGTGGAGAAAAGGCATGGGGGAGAGGGGCGTGAATGGTAAGGCTGTGGTCATGGTTAAGTATAAACGGAAGCTAATGTAGGCTGGGGGTGGAGGGCCTTTAAGATTCTGCTAGGATTTCTCCTGAAACAGTTCAATTTGAAAACATTTGCCCATATTGAGATGACTTAAGTGGAGAGGAGGAGGTGCTCAGGAATCCAGTTTTCTTATCAACATAGAGAGTTAGGTGTAAAGAGTTGCCACCATCTGGAGGGACCTTAGCTTGGTTTAGGCGCCTCAGGAGGAGGGACAGAGCAGGGCTGTGCCCTGGGCTCCAGCTGTGGAAGCCTAGTGGTGCTATTTTTAGAGAGCTCTGGCAGGATGTTCTGAGTGTCCCTGATAGAGACTCAGTTGGTGACAGGAGCTAAATTTACTTCTAACCCTTGTGGAGGCAACAGTCCACCAATCACTAAGCCCTCATTTTCCCTGGCTAAGATGACTGAGGACTTGCCTGGTGGGGAGGGAAGGGGGTAAAAGTGGGGGGAGAATGAGGGGGAAGGGCAGAAAGAAGTCTAAAAAGAACTCTTCTGGGTAAAACTTACCCTGACCTAAATGTATTTTGAACTTTTCAGAACCCGACAGAGGCAAAAGCATATTTAGCAGTACAAAGGAAAATATGAAGGAAGAGGATCAACTGGCTGGGGGAGAGAATGGGGGGGGGGCGGGAGAAGAAGGAAGGGAAATACATTAATTCCATCATTGTTCATGATAAAGGAATTAAAAATTAAATTAAATTAAATTAAATTAAAAGTACCCATTTAATATAACAAAAGACAGTGGTGAAATAGAGGGAAAAAACACAAGACAAATAGAAAAACATAAGATGGCAGGCATAAATCCTACCTTATGAGTAATTACATTGAATGTAAACAGATTAAACCTTCCAATTAAAAGACAGAGATTGGAAGATGAATTAAAAACTACATGATCCATCTATATGCTGACTATAGGAGGCAAATTTTAGATTAAAAAACACACGTTGGTTGGAAGTTAAAGGATGGAAAACATATCATGCAAACTAGTTAAAGAGACTTAGAATGACTATATTAATATCAGATCAAATAGATTTTAAGACAAAAACTTTTACCAGTGACCAAAGAAGTATAGTTTCTGATGATGATGGAGTCAATCCACACAGAAGATATCTATTGTGGGGCGCGGTTACGGTGTTTTGGCCAGGTTCAAGTCTCAGACTAATGAAAGGACAGGGTCCTCTCATTGCCACGTGCAAGTCCCAGCTGGAGGGCAGGGCTCTCCCAGCACAATCATAGCCAACAACTGTGGTTGTGAGCTTGAACCTATGGTCTGAACAAGTAGCCCCATGTGCCTTGTGATAGAGTTTGGGTGCATGTAGTTAAGTGAGGTTGAAACTCACGAGAATGCTGTAAACAACGTGATCACACTCCTACTTTGCCTTGTGGAATCTGCTATAAAATAAAGACACGGCTTGTGGGCGCTGTCGTTGTCTCCTCATCAGGGAGGCAGCGTCCCACTGAGACCCAGCTATTATTCTCTTGTCTGTCTTTCCTTAATCCTTTCCCCCTCCCCTCCCCCCGCTCAGGATCACCCTTGGTCATGCTGGCGTGGCACAAATGGCGCCTGAACAGGGACTGAGTTCTGCGATCAGGGACTGAGTTCAGGC